TTGGCAAAAGCCCTACTATTTCCGCAGGAGGGAAATCAAACAGTTTGATCAAAACCCGGCTTACATGCACGAAGAAGTATTTTTGCAGGGTTCTCGGTTTGGGGTGAAAGACATACGGAACTTGCAGATAATATTGAGCCTTGCAGCGACGAAAGGAAGTCTCCCCTGGGGACATGAAATCAGCGTTTGGAAAGTTCAGACTGTCCTAAAAGCGGCGCGAGCAATAAAATAAAAAGTAAACCAAAACATACCGGAAGTTTATGGCAGTATTCACACAAAATTATTTATCCTGCCGTAAAAGTTGAGCAGTTGAAATTTTTTTTTTCCTCATGAGTGAACAAAATAATTTTTATGCCATGACGTTCCGCGTTTGATTCTTTTATTTGCAATATTCTAGTTTAATTTTGTGAACACGAGCTAATTCTGGACACATTTCACGGTCTTGACATATATTGAATTTTCTATACGCTTCTCCAGGAAAAAAAATTATATATTTGTTTTGATAGCTATTCTTTCTCAGCACTACGCTGTTCTGTTCAACCTTGACCTGCCATCACGAATATATTTCAAGCGAGAAAATTTCACACTAATTTTCATGAAAATTTTGTTCAACGAATATNGTCGCAACTGAATGAGTTATTGGTGTACAAATAGGTGCGAAAAAAAAGCACAGAAATTGCGAGAATAGATGAGATGATACACATGAGGAGGGAAGAAAAACAGACAAAAAAAAAATAGACACACGAATAAAAGCGATAAGAAAGTCTTCCGCGCAACGTTCATCACCTCATTCGTCGCTTCCTTTCCCCTGAAGCCCATGACGCAAGTATCGGAAACCCTGGTGCCAGTTATATTCCTTGCATTCCGAACATGGGCAAATCACGGCAGATATACAGGCACTTACGATGATTTATGGCAGCAGGATTCTTGGCAAAAGCCCTACTATTTCCGCAGGAGGGAAATCAAACAGTTTGATCAAAACCCGGCTTACATGCACGAAGAAGTATTTTTGCAGGGTTCTTGGTTTGGGGTGAAAGACATACGGAACTTGCAGATAATATGAGCCTTGCAGCGACGAAAGGAAGTCTCCCCTGGGGACATGAAATCAGCGTTTGGAAAGTTCAGACTGTCCTAAAAGCGGCGCGAGCAAAAAAATAAAAAGTAAACCAAAACATACCGGAAGTTTATGGCAGTATTCACACAAAATTATTTATCCTGCCGTAAAAGTTGAGCAGTTGAAAATTTTCTTTCCTCATGAGTGAACAAAATAATTTTATGCCATGACGTTCCGCGTTTGATTCTTTTATTTGCAATATTTTAGTTTAATTTTGTGAACACGCGCCAATTCTGGACACATTTCACCGTCTTGACATCTATAGAATTTTCTATACGCTTCTCCAGGAAAAAAATTACAGATTTGTTTTGATAGCTATTCTTTCTCAGCACTACGCTGTTCTGTTCAACCTTGACCTGCCATCACGAATATATTTCAAGCGAGAAAATTTCACACTAATTTTCATGAAAATTTTGTTCAACGAATATTATTTGTTTTGATAGCTATTCTTTCTCAGCACTACGCTGTTCTGTTCAACCTTGACCTGCCATCACGAATATATTTCAAGCGAGAAAATTTCACACTAATTTTCATGAAAATTTTGTTCAACGAATATCCTATTCATGAAATCAAGTCTCACCTTATTAGAGGGATGCGGAGGTGACATTTATTTTTACTGGGGATTTTCAAAGTGAAACAAGAAGAAATACACATGTTTTTTTCGTTAAACTTTTTGGATGCCCCTGAAGATTTCTCGTCAACGTCGTCTGTCGAGGGATTGTGTCGAAAAGAGCAATAAGAGAACACGTGATCCGCCTCCGCGGCTGGCATTAACATTCGGCAGATACGATGGATGCCACAAAAAAAAAATAGAAATAAAAAATATATATATATATCTATATATCAGCTCAATCTGCTTCTTTTGTTTAGCTGAGTTTATTTGCACATAAGTTCCGTGTTTGTCAATATAAAATAGTTCGCAACACTTTTCAACTGTATTTACTACCTCCAAAACGTCGGCATATTTCATTCGACGTACAATACTTCAATAATTGTAGATTTTCTTGATGTTTTACATCGTCAGGTATTCTGATGATGAATGCTCAAAGGTCTGATACACATTACGAACTGTTGTTCTTTTACAGCATATTTCGTGATTTGGTACTTATTATATACTCGTAGTTCCTAATTTAAATACATGCTTTTGTTTGCTCGCAAAGACAACACGATTTATCTGGTTGAAAAATCAATATATCGTTTATTAATATTATTTTATATCAATAATATAATTTTATTAATTTTCTACATGCATCGTTTTGTACGCACACCGAATAGGCCAGTACACTGCAGGACTAAAATATTGACAAATACGACGAGTTTATTTTTAGTGAAATAATCTCAATAAGGCAATGCATCGAACTTTTTGCTCTGATGAACATGAAAAGAGCCCATGTATATTTACTCATGAAATCGAAGATCAAATCCTGGTTCGAGGGAATCTTTGAAGGCACAGTATTTCTATGTAAAAAGTCCTCCATGAAAGCTCTTCTGATTTATATTTGCCTATAGAGGGAAAGAAATTCGCGTAGGAGAATCTTGGCGCAAGTAAAACCTCCTCTCACGGTTATGTTTGCCGCTGATAGCCGCATTTCACGCTGCTTCAACCGGGGCATTTTGCCCGATTCATCTCCCGAAATACATACAGAATACAATACAGCAAGATATATCCCTCATTCAACAACGGGGAAGCCGTTATTTAGCTTACATCCTCGGATGAATCCGCCTCAGTTTTATGCCTGGCAGCTGACATGCGATTTTAAATGCGAATTACTTACGCACGTGAACGCAGTCTTCCGGAAATTTTTATTTTATTTCGAAAATTACGAACTGTACGGAAATTATCGGGAAGTCATGAAATTGAGAAATACCGTGGGTAGATTTTTCAGAGCACTCAGACTTTTCAATTACCTCATCAACAGGAACAATGCGGTTGTAAAATGGTCGCAGAAGCTCGGGGGGAAATTTGCATGCAGGAAATTTTTAAAAAGCTAAATTTCTGTTCATAGGGCACGTAAATTAATATTTATTGTTAATATTACATGATTCATATTATTTGAACATCGATGTGACCTTCAGCATTTTTTAGTTGTTTTTCTACTTCGTCCCAGCATGTTTCGAAAAAAAAATTTTTTACTGCGAACTAATCAATATTTTAAAGGGAAATTTCGAAATATTTGAAGCGTTTCTTGTGTATGTGGGTGAATCTCGTGAAAGAAAATTCTCGAGCTAAGTAAAATCCAAGTTTTTAAATGTTGGTTATTTGCTTTGCTTTTCAGCGTTTTCTCCCGGCTCTTTTGGGTTTTTAAAAATTGGATCAACGTAGTATCTGCTGAAGCTGCAAAGAAAATTCGTGAAAATGAAAAATTCTTCATAAAATTGTTTGTTACGAAATTGATCTTTGAGTTCAGCGCTCTTCAACTTCAAATAGGGGCTCCACAAAAAATAATCTAAAAAAATGTTTGCCTTTCCTTCAAAATATTATTTAATCAACGCGCGAGCATCCATTACAATGTTGAAATGAGGAAAAACGGTGTCACTTGACTCTGTATCACCTTGAAATTTGGTTCAAAGGAATGTGGATGAACTGCTGTTGAGAGTCCGTCGTAAAATTAAATTGTATGCAGCGTAAAATTAAGAAGAAGAATATATTGGGATTCGCGTATCTAAGCATGCCCAAAAGACATTCGAGTTAGAAAAATACCGTAGATGAAAACTCGAGAGCATAGGTCGAATTATGTTTAAAATGTATGCGCATATTTCTCACCCTATATACAGCTCGTCCACCCGTGATGAGATAAAAAAAAGAAAGCAAAATTTCCTTTTCCCCGAAATATTGAAAATCGAAGAGACTGCGCCCCGAAGTGCATCTCTCAGTCGAGTAAATCCTGTGTAAATTCTCCCGAAAAGAAGAGTATACACAATATCAGAGACGAACGTTTTAAGGCTTGTTTGCAAGCAGCACATCAGAGATGAAATACGCCGTGGAGACAAGTTTTCAGAGAACTGATGTCGACAATTCTCGTTCGTGTACACTCGAATGCTCTCAGTCGTGAATCGATGATTCGCTCGATGAAAATAAACTTATGTTTCAAGTTCCTTCGAAAATATTTCAAGGGCAGCTTTCCGGGGTTTTTTCCCCCTTACAATTCGTCCACTTTAGGCCAGGCAACTGATCAGCTTCTACGAAATGCGAACTTGAAAGATGCTAATCCTGTTTGAAGACAATGGTGACAAGTTATATTTTCTGGCATTTTAATAGTCCTGTATTACTGAGCTCAGTGAGCGACACATGCACCAAGTGTAAAATTGCGCTATTACATTCCGCACTCATCTTTTGGGCAATCGTTCAGGGGTAGAAATTGGCATATTCCACTAAAAAGTGTGAATTTTCTCAAAATCAAGAAACCAAATAACATTCGCACGTGAAATATTTTATAAATATAAATTTTGAGAATTTTATATATGTACCGTAAAATATTTTAGAGACATCGAAACGGTTGCGAAACATACTAAAAATGCATTAGCAACAAAATCGATTTTATCCCTGAGACACAAATTGTTTTCACTCGTTTTCCGATGACTTCATTATTTCCTCTATCCGAAGTACAGTATATGGAACCCCTTCTCGCATCTGAAATTTTCAGTCTTTTTGCAAAGTAAAAAATGCCGAAATCGCGTCGATACTACAAGCAATTCAGGTGGAAAACGAAACACGACAATATTTCCATTCTTTCCCAACAATCTCTGGAATTTAAATGATAGTTTTAAAAAAATTAGTGCATCACACCGATCGGAATATCTCGATAACTGTAAGAAAATTCGGTATTGCAGGATAATTTGACATCAGTTTCCCTGAATTTATCGCGAAAACGTCCCGACTGTGCGATTAACTCTCAGTAAAAAGCAAAGAGAGACTCACGTGGTACTTCTTGGACGTCTCGAGACGTTCGGAGTTGGGACCGACCCAGGACACAACCCCACCGGCTGTGCGGCATAAAAGTACAGCTGAGGTACCCTGACCTTGACCCAGGACTCCTCTGGACAATAATACAGCCGGTGGTAGGTCCACGTCCTTTTGGTCACATTCCTGGCTTGGCAGCTCGTTCACATCTGCGCAAAAATCGCCCGCAAAATAAAATGAAAAAAATGCACGTCAGCTGCCCATGTCAGGAAGTTTACCAGAACACAAGGCTCTTTTTTTTCTTAGAATGGCAGGGAACAAATCACTTTTGCTGGGGCTGGAAGAGGCAAGATTAGGAGATTCCCTTTCCCCGACTCAGAGGCGTTCCTCATCGATCGCATTATCCAATGGAACCCCCGAGATCAAAAAAAGGCTCTTTTGGTCAAGCAGCAGCAGCTCGTGAGGAGACTATACGTAGAATAGTAAACACAGTCGACGGGAAAAAGAGGGGGCAACGATCCTTCTTTTTCTGCAAGTGAGTAGTAAAACCCGGCATATCCCCTGCTTGTGGGATCCCCCAACGTCGACCTCCCCGTAATCCTGAGCATGTGCATCAGTTTGCATGCAGGAAAAGGGTCGCAGTCGCTTTCGGACTCGGGGGTTCTCTGCGAAAAATCCCACAAGAGAAAATCTCTACCGCAGACTTTGCGGCGTTCGTTTTGCTAATATACTGTTTGCTCGGTTTTCAGCGATTTTTGCAGCAGCAATACAGAACAAGTGAATTTTTTAAGATGAGCAACGTTCAGGCTAGAGAAATCGCAAATACGGTTCGTCCTCGTAGTATTGAATGTCATGAGACGTGCCAACGAAATTTCCTTCGAATGAAAATTTTGTCAATGCGAACAGAAAAGTTTGAATATTTGTTCAAAGATCCTCTTTTCTATTTCTGTTCATTGATTGTTCTTGTGGAACATTAATCTGCGGAGGGAAAGCTCGATTATAAAAAAAAATTCCAGAACGCGTGGAGCTGACAGAAAACTTGATTTCTCTGATCACGAAATTTGTTTCTTTTTCATTCAACGCCATGTCAGAAGACATGAGTAGGAAAAGTAAGAAAATGATAGAAGAGAGGCATGAAACATTCCGCAAAATGAGAGAGATGGAATGTTTGATCAGCTTATTTCGAAGAATTCATTTTACAGTTGTGAGATTCAATCTTTTAACCTCGAAAGAACGAATCCTACGGCGGATTTTTGCCTTAAATTTGAGCAGAAATCAACATGGTGAAGTTTATTTTACATATTTTGATTAACCCTGCTGGCAGTGCTCAAGATTTAATTTCCGACATGAACAAAAAACATATTAAATATTTCCCAAACTCGTGTTTATTTTTTACGTTTTATGGAAATAACCAGAAATTCTCGAAAATTTTTCTGATCTATACGAACCTTTCACCGCATGTATAGTAAAGTAATTGTAAAATATTCCCCCATGACATATGGGCGTTTTTTTTTTCGCACGAAAAGAGTACCACGAGTATTATTTTCTTGGAAACAGGGTACTCATTTAACAAACAAAACAGCAAAAAAGCAGCTGTGCCTCATTACTACGCTCTTTTTGACGGATGGAAACCCCACTGAGGTCTTCCTATGGGAAGAAAACCAGAGGCACGTCTTCTTCCAACTTCACCTCGGGGGGTCTCACGCACTACGGCAACCCCCGGGTTCCCGGTGTCTCTGGCTCTTCCCTGTGTTGGTCATCATAGCATGGGGCCCTGGGATGCAGAAAGAGGGCTGCAGCAACAAATGCGTAGGCAGACCTGATGAGCGCATCCTGTTCAGCTGCTCACGAATGCCCCCTAGGCTTTCAGCTCTTCATTAATATTTCCCTCGGTTAGCCGTCGGTTGTTCACGGCAAGAAGAAGAGGAAGAAGCAAGGATAAAACTTGAATGAAACTCGTCGGGATTTCCCTTCCATTTCACGTATTCTGCATTCAGAGTGAGCACGAATCGCAAAAGAGCGGCGTCATTTAAAGACGTGCGGAATTTGAAGTAAGGAGCTCAGCTATGGACCTTTTTCCAGGATATTTTTTATTTGGCTATTCGGAGTCTGTGTGGTGGCATCCAGCGAAAAAAAAACTCGACTTAATTTTCCTTACGAACATTATTTTTCTTTCAGAACACCCGAAGATGAAGATTTCATAAATTTTAATGCACAAACTCTGCAGCAAAATTTTGGAAGAGAATCACAAGAAAATTTTCACTTCAGTAAAAAGTTTTGCAGGGAGACATTATAGCAAAATTCTGGAACATGATCTCTAAAAAGTCATGTATTGATGCAGAAGTGAATTTTGCTTGTCAAAAAAAGGGGATGACGTCAGCTGTATTACCCAATCCAACAATAATTTTAAATGAGGAGCACGAATAAAAATTATCGTTCTGTTTGAACCAAAAATAAAAAAATTATGAAATACTGTATTAATTTTTTTACGCTTTTACTTCGAAATTAAAGTAAACAAACCTCGTACGTCGGTATGTTGAAGCGGAATTTCTAAAACTTTTAAATGGAATGAGAAGCAATTTCTGCTTCCGCAAATGAACAGAGATAGTCTCTGTTCATTCTTGCGATTTTGTAATTAATGTTTATCCAATCCTCTAAAATGCTTCGGAGGAGTCTGATTCCGAAACTTGTGCACTAAACTTACTGAAAATGTCACGCACCCACACTGCTGTTGAATCATTGAAAATACAACAACAACAAAAACTTGCCTGGAACGCGAACCATAGTTTTCGCAGCTGCCTTTCTGCCAAGTGGGGATTCTGCGATGCAAGTGTACAATCCTGAGTCTTGTGTTGAAACACAGGGCAGATACAACCTTGCTCGGACTGTGCCGAGCTCGGTGCCTGTGTCGGCACGACCTTGACCAACCAGGAGTCCAGCTTCTTTGGGGTCTTCCTGGGTTGCATGGGTCATCCGCTTCAGCTGCTCCAAAAAAATAAATCACGCCACAAATTATTCATGTGACACGATGCTGCATTAACAACATTTCAATTTAAATCTATTTACATTATTTCATTTGAGAGGGAAACTAATTCGATTCTGCTGCAACATTTTTCATTATGAGAAATCATCAGACTGAAGGATTCAGATTTGGTAATGAAAGCATTTGGGCTGGTATAATTGAATCAATGATATCAAGAAAAAATCCAATTTCCACAGTTCTTTATGATTCTCGATGTAAAAAAATAATAATAGCCATGGAACTTCGTTGTTGTAGCTATTGATATTTCTTTGATAAAAATGACGGGAAGTACAGTATAAAAATACTGCACCATTGAACATTTTCTGCATAACAAACGTTTTCTCCGACAGAAAGTCAATAGAGTAAATGTTGAAACAACCTCGTCTTTCAAAACTTCCAGATTCCAGTATAACAAACTTTTTTGATGAAGATGTTCAATAGATTCTTGACTGACTGGTTTTGTAATCAATGACAAACATGCTTTGAGTGGTTCCACACACCACTCTCACAGAATGAAGAAATTAGCGAAAATTATGGAATACTTAATGGAACCTAATTAAAAATAATATTACTCAGTTTTTCAAGCAGTAAAAAATCGGAGAATGCCAGAAAAGCGGGATCCAATTGATTATAACAGGCGGGTCTTATCACTGATCTGACAATTATTTCCAGTCATTAATTTTTAAGATTTCGTCTCGAAATATTATTCAGCGCAATAAACTTATTCTGAAGTCCCCGAAAGCTTGTTTTAATGAGACTTTACTGCAGTGAGTCTGTCCCTAATACTCGGACTATACAAGAGAAACGGGAGACAGACAAAAACTCGTAAGTCAACCCCCTCTCGGAAAATTGAATTTATATTGCTTTCCAAGGTCGTATATTACCTGAACTATTGGCATATCGTCCTTCATCCAGAAGATCATGGACGGGGTCGGCCATCCCCAGAATTCGCACTCAATCATCAGCGGCTCTCCGGTCGCGGCGTTGATCTCCTCCGGCGGGCGCTCGGTCAACTTCAACGAGCCCGGGGGCTTCTCTGCCAGGACTGCATGATATCAAGCGACGAAAAACGAGATTCGAAAAGAAGAAAAACAGGTCAGCTGGGTCAAGCATCCCGAGGGCAAGGGTATATTTCTCGAATTCAGACCCCCCCAAATATCAGCCCGCACTGACTCGGTCCGAGCAAACAACCCTCCCGAGGACCGAATGCGTATATTCGTTTCTTCATCGCTGTTGCTGGCGCGGGACTCGTTCCGATTACATTGCTGGTACTTGACTGTTGATCTTTATGCAATAATGATTTGAGGAAACTGTGTGCAGAACGGCAAACCTTCTACGGAAACACTGGTGAATTACTTTCTTATTCAGTGGACGGGATAAATCACGATAGGAAATGTTCCCGAAGAAGAATCCTGGGAAGCGCCAGCAGTTAAAAAAAGATGAGATCAAGAATCAAAAGGATCAAAGCACAGAAGTCCAATTTTAAAAAAAGTTTTGAACCGAACTATACGCTCAATTGTACCTAACCCGAAAAATAATAACGGATCTCATCTTTAATTTCGTTAAATTATGTTTCAATATTAAAAAATGAAAAAATAAATAAGTTTCGAGAATAATTAATTTTATTGCCCAGTATTAAATCGTTTTTTTTTTCTCCCGCAAGATGCAGGTGATGAAAATAAATTTGTTCCATTTTTTCTTCGGAAGGATCCTCTGAAGATCATCCTATAAAATGAGCAATTTGCAAATATGAAGAAAGTACTCGAGAAGTGTCACGATCAAATGAGTGAAGAAATGAATGATCAAGTTTCATTATACAGGACTACCAAAACTCAATAAAAACTAAGCTATTAATTAACCTGCCTAATCTCAATATTTTTAACATGCTCCTGCATTTCAATAATCGCCCTTCTGATGATCACTCTTTTTTAGACTTGCTCTTCTCATGTGAAACCTTGTACACAATGCAGCTGAAATTTCCATACAACCCTTAACTTTCTTTTATTCAGAGTGCCTCCTCAGACACATGAGCAGAACTCTAAGAACTTTCTAGCAACAAGAAAGACTAACATGGAACATGTTGAACAACAGTGCTGGACTATCTCGTCTTTGCCAACAGAATCAAGATAAATCACATCGCCCCAAAATGCAAATGACAGCCATGAGGGCAAGGGAAGCAATGGACAAGGTGCAGTACTGCAGCCACGGGGGTAATCTAGTATTCCAGCAAGGTTTTCGACCCCTAAGAGAAGGCCCAGGAAAAAAAGAAAAGAAGGAGTAAAACCCCTTCCCTCGTCAACAGCTGCCTTCTCGTTCCAGAGAATATTCAGAAGACATGGTCACAACCACGCAGGGTGCAAAAAATAAATAAGATAAAACCTTAAAAAAAAACGTTCTGCATGAAACAGAAAAGAAATCCTTACTAACATGAGAGAATTTCTGCCAAAGAGCAGCTCGTTTTCAGCAGTAAGGAACTGGAAACCGATTTTTTTCAAGTAACTTGAATGAAACTCGTCGGGATTTCCCTTCCATTTCACGTATTCTGCATTCAGAGTGAGCACGAATCGCAAAAGAGCGGCGTCATTTAAAGACGTGCGGAATTTGAAGTAAGGAGCTCAGCTATGGACCTTTTTCCAGGATATTTTTTATTTGGCTATTCGGAGTCTGTGTGGTGGCATCCAGCGAAAAAAAAACTCGACTTAATTTTCCTTACGAACATTATTTTTCTTTCAGAACACCCGAAGATGAAGATTTCATAAATTTTAATGCACAAACTCTGCAGCAAAATTTTGGAAGAGAATCACAAGAAAATTTTCACTTCAGTAAAAAGTTTTGCAGGGAGACATTATAGCAAAATTCTGGAACATGATCTCTAAAAAGTCATGTATTGATGCAGAAGTGAATTTTGCTTGTCAAAAAAAGGGGATGACGTCAGCTGTATTACCCAATCCAACAATAATTTTAAATGAGGAGCACGAATAAAAATTATCGTTCTGTTTGAACCAAAAATAAAAAAATTATGAAATACTGTATTAATTTTTTTACGCTTTTACTTCGAAATTAAAGTAAACAAACCTCGTACGTCGGTATGTTGAAGCGGAATTTCTAAAAATTTTAAATGGAATGAGAAGCAATTTCTGCTTCCGCAAATGAACAGAGATAGTCTCTGTTCATTCTTGCGATTTTGTAATTAATGTTTATCCAATCCTCTAAAATGCTTCGGAGGAGTCTGATTCCGAAACTTGTGCACTAAACTTACTGAAAATGTCACGCACCCACACTGCTGTTGAATCATTGAAAATACAACAACAACAAAAACTTGCCTGGAACGCGAACC